TCTTGCCGACGGTCTAGGGAAAACATGTTTAGCGGCCATGATCCAGTCATGTAAAGTCCACCTGAGCGACGATAGTTCTTTCCATCTAGATATGGGAAATCGTAGCCGTCAATGCGGGATGTTTGATTGGTCGTCAAACACAATCCTAGCCGCTCAATGCAATATCAACTCCAACCTCAGCTTCCTTTGCCAGCGATTTTATCCGGATGGTTAGTTTTAGAAGGCCTCTTTCGTGTTTCAACAAAGCTATGAATAAAAACATAGATGTGTACATAATACCATGATGGACTAATGAAATTTAATGTGCAAAGAATAATCCATACACTTCTTTCCTCGATGGTCATCAGTGGATTTACATAGAAGAATGGTTGATAGAACAAACAAATAATTATAATTATGTGTTCAACTGTGCTACAATGTCCTAATTGAAAGTTACAAAAAATACAATTCAACACAGTTGAAACAGTGATTGTATTATCCCATAAAGTGAGAACAGTGTAAAAGAAAAGTTAGTGTGGGGAAATCTAGGTGTAGAGCGCGTAAGTGTAGTTTATGAATTATGCAAGAATGGACTCGGATGGAGAGCCAAGTGCAAATTTATAGTAAAGAAGAAAGGATCAAGAAACTACAAGTTACGCTATAATGTCCACTAAAACCACCAGTTACTAAACAATCAGCTCATGCGATAACATTCCACGACATTGATGTACCGTCCCTATCTATATGGTGAAACGATCGTCGTGTGAAACTGCTGCTTGTTACCGCTGCTTATTGTCCATCTAAATTGACATAGTCGACGTACAGTGCTGTTTTATTGAAGCATTCGGTTTTGCATGATTCTGGTTCGCATAGCTTCCCTTTTTATTGATCTTCGCATCTTTGAGTCACACAAGTTTTGTGGAATGTTGCTTTGCGTCCTTGAATCGTGGTTTGTCCGTATTGTCCAGTGGTCTTGCCAGTACCGTCATCGACATGCATGATCGACATGCATGAACATCCTTCAACGTCCTTCACAGCTGAGACTTTCAGCTCGTGCTTGTCTTGGTTGCGCTCACCTTCCCCTCCTTATGTTATTTCTATAACTTAGAACCTTCCAAGTTGGAAGGCTGTTGTAGTGCGCACCCTATATGTGCTAGCGCTGTTAGCCAGTTAGTTGCAGAACGTCAGTACAGTCGGTCAGTGTCATGCAATGTTATCGCATGAGCTTATTGTTTAGTAACTGCTGGTTTTAGTGGACATTATAGCGTAACTTGTATTTTCTTGGTCCTTTTTTCTTTACTAGAAATATGAATTATGCCTTGCAGATTTATGTCGCATTTGTGCATCATGGTATTATGTCGGCATCAATTGTTTATTCGCAACTTTGTTGAAACTTCTTTCTCCGAAGCCGCTCCTCCATAGTTCCCCATCTATTGAGTATTTTCACACCTGTTAACTAGATTTTGTTATGTGTACTTCGAAGTAGTCACGGCATTATATCGTGGTACAGTATTCCTGTGCAATTGCTGCACCTGAAGGCTAAAGCATAACTAATAATATTCACTATGCTTCAGTTCACTCTACGTGGCAGTAACGTAATCAAAACCTTAGAGCAACAAACTCCTCTGGAAACAAACACTTCATTACTTTTATTGAACAGCCTGTTAGTGTGAATAGAGCCCTGAACTCTGGAGAGATGGCGACTCCACGTGAGACTCAAACGTTGCCAATATCTTTTGCATAAAAGTGTTCCTACTTCAAACGTTTCCCCACTCTTTGCCCTGAATCTCATTGTTCCACTGAACCTTAGCAGTAACTCCAACCTGTATGACGACGTTCCTAGGCTCGCGTGCGTCCATATTGAAATCATACGGTATGTTTGTTTGTTTGTGTATATGTATTATAGGCATGTACATGTATGTGTGTGGGTGTGGTGTGGGTGTGGGTGCGTGTGTGTATGTGTGTGTTCTGTATGGGTGCATGTTCTTTCCAACAGTTCATGACACGTCCAGTGCTAGCTGGTTGGGTACTTCATGAGCTCGGAGTAATTCTCTTTGATTCTGTACATCACGTTCCTTTGCCATCACAATCAATAAGACTATTTCTTAAACGGTCAAATCCTATATAGGATTTTTTTTGACATTTTTCAAATAATCATGACCCTGCTTCCGCCCGGGATAAGTTGTGTGCCTACATTTTTATCGTAAGGTGTTGGGGCAGTATCAGTAGGTTCTGTTCAGAAGTTTTCAAGGGTGCCAGTATTATCGCTTGACTTACTTGTATAGGGCCGTTTTAGATAGGACATGAGTTTTTTGTCGGATCCGATAATATAGGATTTGAGTGTTCTCCATTATCCAGAGTGTTGTAATGGATGCAGATGATGATAGAATGCTTAGTATGCTGAATAAGTACATAGATACCATACATACTCAAATCTGTGGACAGCAACTGTTTCGCTCTGTTAGAGCTCCTCGCACAGCTCAGAGGACCGAAGCGCAGCTCTTCGCAATGAAATACGTTTCCGTGAAGCAAAGCATTTTTAAAAAGAGCTGCAAACCCCATGCCATACCATACAATACCATACCACGCATAGATGTCTGTGGTTGATTGGGGAGCACTGCTACAGGTTGGCATATCTAGTGCTTTTAACTGTACCACAGCGGACGCTTCAACTCAAAAATTGGCCGATCGGCTTGAAATTTGGATTACTCCTACAGAAGTGTATGGGAAACAGTTTCAAACACCTCGTGAAAGCCATTTCATCCTTTTTCATAGGTTTTTAGGGAAATCCTTTAGCCAAAACCCAAATCCTATAATAAGGATTTGCCGGTGACAGTTTTTAAAACAGATACACAGCAGTGAAAAGTGAGATATTGGTAGAATAGAATACATGTGCAAGAAATTGAAACTGTCAATTAAAATATCAGTATCACCTTCTCTGACGAGCCTTTGATAGGCGAAACAGCTGTCAGAAGGAAATGTTTTACCCATGACCCCTTCCTTGTTTGAAGTTATTGGTGTGAGTAATGGCTACCGAGGGTAGTAATGGTCGGCTTTAGAGTGCATGGAGGAGGAGAGTTAGTTTCTTCTAAGAAATTGAAACCATTAATACATTTTCTGATCTGATGTTTCTGACTGCATATTCCCAGCACCAACATCAGTTGTCCTTCTGCCTGCTAACACAACCACTGTCATAGCATCAATGGCCAAGCGATCCAGGATAGCCAAATACTGCTTCAATCTCAGCTCAGCTAGTCAAACAGGATCTTCACAGAAACAAAATCCAATTCAGATGTGCGCCAACGTGTCGGGTGGCAATGTGGCGTTCGCCAACTTGTCTCTAAACACCTCGTATTGCGTATCAGCATTTGTGGTCACGCGCGAGAATCAAACTAGCAACTATTCTAGCCCAGTTTGCATGCTCACTCCACCTGCTGGTAAGCATTGCAGTAGTCATACAGGTCACGGATTAGACTTTAAAACACTTAGCTATGGTAGCTTACCCACGCACAATTCACTCACCACAACTTCACAGTTGTTTGTGTTCGTAGTTTGTCCCACTTTCATTCGGGCATTTCTGGTTTTTTTAATAGATAATTATTAATATAATTATTTGAAGAAAGGAAAAGGACATATGGAAACGAGTTTAGAGTAACTCTCCATCACTGTAACCAGATACTATGTACAGTCAGAAAGTGCAACAACTAGACACGAAACTGAAAGAGTAGTCGGACATTCGACGTCCTGACACCTAGCTTCAACACATCTCAGTTGCATGTCCCCGTGCTCTGTCAGTTTTCTGCTTAGTTGTTGCACTTTCTGACTGTATCATAAGTACAGTCCGTATCGCCTATAAGGTAGGCGGCTATAGTAATACACCGGATATAGTGATCAATTTCTCAAATTCATTTTCATTTGCCATAACTAAGTACATGTATACACAGTTATTGCGTATAGTAATTATCGTCTATAGTAATAATTATATCGCCTATAGTGATCAAATTCATATTTCAAAAGACCTTTATTACATTATTTTTGCTTCGGTTATAGTGATTGATGTAAAGTCAAGCGATGTTAGAGGAGAACAGGGTGTTACTTCTTCGTGAAGAACTTGTCCAGTGAGTGTTGTTTGGTGTGTTTTGCTCGTACAAGTTGCCAAAATATGCCTCCATCGTGAGGAAATGCTGATTTTCTGTGTCAGGAGCTACAGCCAGCTACAAGAAATTATGATGTATGTAGTGCGTATGTGCACGGCGCGCTGAGTCGTTTGACACCCCACTCGCATACATTGCATGCAGTATCGGTCATAGTAATATTCGCTTATAGTGATAAAATGCTCAAAATCAAACACCAACGCTATTGGCGATACTGACTGTATCTGGTTACAGTGATGGACAGCTACTCTAAACTCGTTGCCATATGTCCTTTTCCTTTCTACATTTATTATTAATATTGGCTCAACATCCGAGTTTCAAATAATTATACTCTTCGTACATTGACTACACCATCACCAAGATCGTCGACTTCTTTGGCCAACCAAACACACTTCCCAAACCACCAAAGGTTTCTTTTTCGGAATACTGAAAAATCACTCCTTCCACATGTATAAACAGTTGTGTCGGTCATTTGAGACCTCATCGGAGAAGGTTGCGTTGTTGTATGACTGGAAAAGGAAGCATTTGTTTTATTACATTTTACATTTACATGTACATGCCACTACATGACGTAGTGTAACGGTACGCATGTACATGTAAACTATTGTACCTTCCCTTCTGTTGTTGACACCCCTGTGCAGAAGAGTGGGCTGAATGCAAGACCACTACAAGGCTGGAAATGGGTGTCTTTCTGGGTGGGAAGTCCTATGCTGATGCAATGACTGCGTGCGCGACAGTTGGTGGAACTCTGGCTCAGCTCCACAAGAATGAAACAATAAAATGTGCAAAGTCTGCCGTACGGGAATGGGCTAAGCGCTATATTTCCGCAAGACCCACCAAAGCGCCCTTTAGAAGTACGCTGCGGAACTCGAACTGCAGGTTCTGGATTGGACAAAACTCAACCGCCACTGCTTTCACACCATCTACTCTTGGCGTAAGAACATTACACACATGTTTTAAAAAATCCATTTTTGTTTGAGAATGCATAAATTGATTGGTGAAGGTGAGAACCATGACAAGAGGATGTATGAAAAATTACAGGCGGAGCAGGTGTGGTTGTGCATGACCATCCATGGGTCATTCGTCAGGCCACCGTAGGCTAGGAAAGACAACCTACAAATTACAAATCCTTCACTCCAGTTAGGACTCAGAACTTCTCGAACCAGTTTTCGGGCATTCTCTTCAAGTGGAATACAAGCAACCAAAACCAATGAAACGTAAGGATAAAGAGCATCACAAGGTTGGTAACTATTACAACTAGGTGAGACATTATAGCGAGTAATTACACACACAACAGAGGCGAAAGGCTGTGTTAGCTGTAACTTAAAGTTTCACGCATCGAGCGATCATCAGACAGCAGCATTCACAGCATTCACAGTATTTAGCGAGTAATTATGTACAAAGGGACATCAACAAAATGAAAGAGATCTTGTAGTCCTATGCTTTCTTCGTTCATTTCATTACTACAGTGCTGGTAACTGAAATCCGACCCCTAAGCTGCGCGCTCACATCGCAAAGACAGTAAAACTACGAAACAGAGACCGCTAGAAAGTGGATGCACCGCTAAGGGGTCGGGTTTCAGTTGCCAGCGCTGTCCATGCTGTACAATCAACGTAAGAGTACATGTACTCGTCAAGATAAAGCCAGGTTCAGAACCCCGGTTACAACGGTCTATACAATATAGACCTTATTCGATAAACGTCACAATCACGTGAACCGGGGTCCCGGGAACCAGGGAGTGGCAAGAGATCTGCGCTCAGTGCACAGTGGACTCTGTGTGCGAACATAGGAGTAGATAAATACCGGTATTTTACTACTCTTTTGTACAAACTGGGCCTTTCTTGCCACTCGTTTCTCGTACGCGTGCCCTAGCTTATGACAAATCCCTGGAGGCGAGTCCAAAAGTCACGTTATCGAATAAGGTCTATTGTTTGCTCAGCTAATACAATGCCATTGTGCAAGGAATCCAGACTGCATCTAACCTTGGACCGAAAATAAAACAATCATATGGATGTTTTTAACGCGTTAGAACTTAGAACTGTACAAAAAGAGAAGAAACATATGAGAACGAGTTATGCAGCAATTACCCACGACTGTAACAAGATGATAAACAGTCAGAACATGCGATAAAAGGGCCCAAAACTGACAGGCTACTGAGACATTCAGCGACCCGAGATCTATTTAGAATTTCTCGAGTTCATTACATTCCCTGGAATTTATCTGTCAGTTTTTGTGCCTAATTGTGTCAATTTGAGTGTTCACAGTCTGGTATATTTGGTGGAGTCGACCACCTAACCGGTTTCCCAGTATATACCTCTTCTGCTAACAACTGCACGAATGTAGTAAATACAAAAAGTATTGTCCGTCACGTATTCACGCCTTAGGAAATCACAAAATGATAACAAAAAAAATTGTTGCCCTCGTTTGCCAAGAATGTGCATAATAATGTTCTCCATTTGTGTATCGTTCTCAGCACTGCCCGTATATCCAATACAACAGCAGCAATCCAAGTTCTTACACTAATATTACATGTGGCGATTACCTCAGCTACATTTGCCAGAGGCCAATGAACGGTGAGCACAGGACTTTACAATAGGTATCACTTTAAGGACAAGTGCCTTTCAGACGTTTCCAGGGCGTTGCCATAACTATAGGCATGAAAAACTGAACATCGTTCTGGAAATGAGTGACTGGCCCAAACGTCAGAAAGGTCTGACCGAATTTAGGAGAGATCTGCAAAGACAGTTCTTCAATCATAATAATTATTTACTGCAGCGGAATCCCATTGAATCTGCAGCGCAACGTCGTACAGGAACTTCTTTGGAAGTTTATCTCCGGAATGTTTGTCATCCTGCATGCTTTTCAGGGTTTTGTTGAAGTTCAGAGCTAGTTATTATTCTACATGACTGTACACGTCGTCATACATCCAGATCCAACGTCAGCAGCCCGGGGTACCATCACTACCATGCCCAGCACTACGAATCCCGTTCCTAGTACACCAGCTACCAAACCATCCACGGGAACGAGAGCAACGGGTAAGTTTTCCGCTACAAATGGAGTGGTTTTCTATGCTTTCAAATCATATAATGCGAGTGGGTTATTCTTTATTTTCTGTGCTTCTTCGCCTCGGCGCGATCCCAAACACGCACCTATCGACATACTTCTAGATACAACGACGACAGTCCAGCAAACCGTGTCCAGTACTACGAGCAGCATGCCAAGTGAAACGTCCGTCAAACCATCCACGGAAACAGGAGCAACCAGTAAGGTATCTGCTGCAAATGGATGCTCTACGTTGTCCCCACGGAGTTCCGATGCAACACCTACAGCAAGCACAGTGCCGAAAACAGAAGAAACCGCGTCTGTAAGTAACCCAAACGTGATGAATGCAACAGGAACACTAAACAACGTGACAACTGGAACTGTAGGAAGTAGTTCGCACACCTCGACACCAATGGCGAGCCGTACATCAACAAGCCCAACAACATCTCCACGGCCATTTCCCTCCATATATAAATCTAGCGGTAACGCAGATCGCACGAGCGTTCCAAGGTCCGATGTCACCATGTCCCCTCTCATGAACAACACGGGTAACACGGGTCAAGCTTTCAAGCCAACATCCAATATCATGGATTGGCTTTTAGGCGGCAGCTGTATTGCATTACTCATTGTGTTGGTGGCTGTCGGGTGCGTTCTCTGGAAAAGGCACAAGGCAAAGGGACAGTACCCGCTAGAAGCTGAAGGTAAGGCAACAATAATACAAGCTGGAACGACAGCACGTACAGGCAAATTGTAAATTACTTTGTAAGTACGCCGAAAACACGTTCAATTCCTTAGTTCGGACGCTCACAGTATTTGTTATATCCGTATATTGCCCAATGCTGACGTATGTTCGGATTAAAAGTACCTCGGATACTACGCACACTTTTCTGTTCCCCGTGGGTTACTTCTTACCAGATTTAAACTGTAATGCAGCATGAGTTACTTCAAGATTTTACATGAAATTTGAGCCATGCTGTTCAATGAAACTTGGATAGAGAACCAAGGATTATAGTGACAAATATGGAAGATAGGAAGTGTACAAGACATCTATCAATATCCAACACTTACACTCATAATTTAAAAGGTATTGGTGAGCCGAAACGTGCGATAAGAAGCACGATTTGGTTGTTGATTGTCAGTATCGTGCAGAACACGCTGTGATAGCGTACTAGGCAAATGTTCTCCCTCACAGAACCTGTTCATGTTCTTCATAGATTGAAATTAGATGCTGTGACCTCGGCGGTACTTGTAGAGGAAGGTGCCTCCTCCAAACGTTGTACCTTGTACTGCATGCAGTCAAGAATCAGTCGGTGGGCAGGAAGTGCGAGCTTCGACGCTTGTAGTAGCCAGCATCCTAGATCAATTTGATTCATTGCATCTTCTTGATTGGCCAAGGTGCATCTTGGAAGTAAATTGAAATAATTCTCTCCATGCACGCGGAGCAACGGTCATGGCTATGCCTGCTAAGTGCTTGTGTATCTCACTGTCCTCCCAGGTAACTTAGTGCTGGAGAATATTCGTCAACAGAATGCGCCACACGACCCAGTGCAGGTACGGATATGCTATGCATTTATCTCCACCACATTGCATTGTCACATAGCAACCCAGGGACAACAATATTTTTACTCTAGCCATATCCGGAACATTAGGCTTCCACTTCCCCATTTTCTACGAATCGTTATCAGGAAGGTTATTGCGCAAATGCCGATATTATAGCAAGTGTGCGTCGCTCTCTATGGGCAAGCTGGTGTTTTACACAGTGCTGAAATACTGTATTTACCACCACTTCACGAGGTGTAACAAAGAGTTACAGTGTACGAGTTTTTCATCCATCTTTGCATCTTATTTCCATTTTTTTACCCAGGATAATGCAGCGCGCTACGTGGTAACAGGTATGGTCAATGAGGGTTCTTATGCTGCCATCGGTGCAGATATAAACGTACGCAGTTCAACAACGGAAACTGCCGAGAGCTATTACGTGAACGCACGCCCATCTCGAGAGGTACCACAGAGACAGAATGGTGGAGTTCAGGTAAATTTGAAAGGAGTGAAGTTTTTTATACTACTTGAAGCAACAGATGATGCTTACATGTACATGTACATGTAGATAATGAACGTTGTAGCCTTCAATTAAACCCTTTGAGAGCCGCCCCATACTTGAATGCGTAGAATTCATCTCTGAAACTTCAACAAGCCGTAACTCGGTCCAAACTAGCTCAAATTCAACAATCCAAATATCCAGATCGAAGAGACAACTCTCAAGGTTCCATCGAACCCATCCGCGAAGTGCTGCGATCGGTCCGGAGATTACTCGCTCGCAAGTTCAGCCGCGATCGCAGCAACTTCAAGGTGACCAAACACTCATATACCGGTACATGTATAATTATGTACATGGCCTGATGGAGTGGGCACTTTCAAGTGTCCAATAAAAATGAAGATGAACAAACGTCAACCTTGGTTCTAACGGTGCCACCTAACAGTTCTGCATCCCTCGTCACCATGGTAACGCCCCTTATGTAACAAGACCAATCAACACAAGCTCTCGACAACGTTGTCATTTCTCCTGCAGTGTAAATATTAGCACAGCTCAAAGCGTGGGTAGAGGTTTGATTCTGGTTAAAAAAAATTGGAATTTTGTGTTGATGAATTGGCCACTAATATCACTCATTGCTTATCACAATCTCTAGGCCTTGACAGATTATGCTAATTTTTTCGTGAAATTGTGCTTTTCGCATTGCTGAAAAATGGCAGAACTATGCTATTTTTATGCTAAAAGTTATCATATTATGCCGCATTATGCTATTATATGCTGCTAATGTATAATGGTTCTGTGCAAAATAACAGGGGAATTTTTTTGTAGAGGGCGTTGTACTGTAGTAGCAATAGTTCAACGGGGTCAACGCACCGTCCGACCTAGCTACGACCGTCACTGATTGTAGTGGACTGGACATGTTCTCAAGGGAGTCGTAAACCTACGACTTCCTGGTGCATCTACTTGTACTTGTACTTGCAGAACATGTACAACTGTATGGAATTTGATACGAACAGGCGGATTATTCCAATTTTATGCGATTCGTATGCAATTTGCCTCGAATTATGCGATTATTCGATTTTGGTAGGAATTATGCGAAAAATTATGCTAGCATAATCTGTCAAGGCCTAACAATCTCCCCCTTCCCTACGATTGCCATGCACAAAATCAAAATATATTTTCATTTGACCATCGCGAAAGCTGCCCAAGTTTCAAAATTTTGTCATTTACCGTGTCCATTCTGTGCCAACAGGTAGCAATAAAACCAGAACCAGCATCAACAACAGCAGCAGAGATAACAGAAGCAGCAAAGGCGGGAGCAGAAGCACCTGCAACGGCAAGAGCTGCAGCAGCACCAGTAGCAGCATCAGCAACAGCTTCCCAGTCGGCCATCGGGCAATACTCTTTGATCAGGTACGGACTTGCTGAAGACATGGAAGAGTGTGCGTACGACAATCACATTCGTCGCGGACCACCCAGTCCAAGGTTTGGACAGACTGCATCGCCATCCCCGTACGAAGATCGCTATGACAACCATCACCTGTTGCTCATCACGGGTTTTGGTCCGACTGGTGTCAACGTATCACCACGTGCAAGCCGTGTCGATGAAGGTCTCTATGACAACGAGGTCATTCGTAGCCAGGTAATCAATGGTTCCTTCATGGATAAACTATGTAAAATCCACTCTTCCTCATTCTTTGAGATAAAGTAAGCAAGCATCCACTTGTCCAGGCAATAAAGTAGTCTCTCTCACTATCTCTCCTGTCTCTTTCTCTCTATCTCTCTTTCTCTCTCTCTCCTTCTCTCTCTCCCTCTCTCACTCTCTCTGTCTCTCTGTCTCTCTCTCTCTCCCACTCTCTCTTTCTCTCAATCTATCTCTCCTCTCTCATCATGCATGCTTCACACACTCATCTAATATTTCTTTACTTCGTCTTCTTGAGAGAGGTTGGACAATCCACTTGTCCAGGCAAGAAAGCAGCAATGCCTGCTCACTCTGGCGAAGTAAAATAGAGTATACCAACCGACCAACCAGGTCTAAACTGCTCTTATTGCAAGGCATAGGAACGCGCTTGAGCTAAAACACAGTAAAAACACAGTAGATGGTATTTGCTCTTTTGTCGTACTAGAAGTGTCCTTACTAACGTCATCACGGTAGCGAATTCGATTCCCAGGATGTTCTACTTTACTTGAAAAGCACATAATCACCGGGTAAGCTGAGTCACTGAAAAAGGAGAGCAAGCCAAGACCATGGAGAAAGAGTGACAGATGGGAGATGGGAATAAGATTCGTCAAGGGCAGCGTAGGGACAGTGGTAATCTCAACCCCAATGGATCCATCTGGTATTGACACATGGCTATGGTTAGTGACTGCCATGACAGTATAAAGGAGCGAGGGGACATGAGCGCAGCTTCACCATTGGAATCAGTGCATTTTTCGCAACAGTTTTGAAGCTTTCATTACAGGGTAAGCTCCCCCTCCATAACATGGATTCGACTCCCAAGGGCGTGTAGTCGCGTACGGGTTAACTGGCTGTTTAGATTACCAAGCGTCAACCTAGGTGTTAACTCTGCAATCCTACTGTTTCCATACCTCATCACCTCCATGAGGTGGAGGTGGAACTACTTGAAAGTAATCATATTGATCAACAGGCCGACAGTTGCGGCAACCCTCGTGTAATCACCCTTCCTTGTGTCAATTCTCCTGCTGTAGGCAATTGATGTTCGCATAACTCAGTACATGCCAGAAGATAGATTCTTGTGAAATATTTTGAGACTTTGATATTGTGCGGTGATGGCTGCGACACTAGTACTATTCCTTCCTAGTCACAATCCGCCCCCCCCCCCCCTCCCCCCTCCCCAAAGTTTGCCACTCACAAAACCAAACCTACTGTACATAATCTGGTATACACCGTGTCCATTCTGTGCCAACAGGTAGCTATAGAAACGGAACCAGCATCAACAACAGCACAGACAACAGAAGCAACAAAGGCAGCAGCAGAAGCACCAGCAACAGCAGAAGCACCGGGAGCAGCGGGAGCTGAGATAGCACCAGCAACAGCTGCAACTGGAGCAGTAGCAGCTGCTACAACTTCCCAGTCGGCCATCGGGCAGTACTCTTTGATCACGTACGGACTTGCTGAAGACATGGCAGAGTGTGCGTACGACAATCACATTCGTCGCGGACCACCCAGTCCAAGGTTTGGACAGACTGCATCGCCATCCCCGTACGAAGATCGCTATGACAACCATCAGCTGTTGCTCCCCAAGGGTTTTGGTACGACTGGCGTCAACGTATCACCACGTGCAAGCCGTGTGGATGAGGGTCTGTATGACAACGAGGTCATTCGTAGCCAGGTAATCATCCGATTCTTTCATGGATAAACTATGTACGAGTCCTCGTCGTAAAATCTATTCACTGGTTTAAGAAAAGATACAAACGGGAACAGTCTGAAACAAATTGGCTGTCACCACCAGGACTCGAACTAGGAACCGTCGCTTGTAGCCAGCGATGCTCCAATCACTGAGCTATGGTGTAATCGTCATCCCAGCAGAGACCGTCTACTCTTCGTCAGTTTTGGAGATAAAGTACGCAAGTTTAAACTGTTCTTATTGCAAGGCGTAGGAACATGTTCGAGCTTTTTATAGCTCAAACACAGTAGATGGTAACTGTCCTTTGTCGTACTAGAAGTGTCCTTATTAGCATCATCACGGGAGCAAATTCGATTCCCAGGATTTTTTACTTTACTTGAAAAGCAAATAACCAACGAGTAAGCTGAGTCACAAAAAAGGAGAGCGGGCAAAACAAGACAATGGAGAAAGAGTGAGAGATGGGAGTAGGATTCGTCAAGGGTAGTAGGGACAGTGGTAACCTCAACTCCACTAGATTCATCTGGTATTGACACCTGGCTATGGTTAGTGACGGCTAGGACAGTAAAATAGGAGTGACCAGATATGAGCGCAGCTGGCGCTGCTCAGCCAAATCATGCTCTTAGAATCAAGGATTCTCTAGTGACTTGCAAAGCCTCCCATTTACTCTCCCAACTGTATTGATCCAGAAAACACGGTGTTGCTCAATAAAATCCGATCAAGTGAATCCGCTTTGCGCCCGTAAGAGAATCCCAGTGCTCGCAGGTCTGGGGCCGCACAGCGCCCGGCAGGTGCCAGACTCATTGGATCGGATTTCATAAAGCAGGACTGTACAAATCGTAGGTGTGGATGCGAAGACCATTATCTTGGCAGTCTGCAGCTAGCTGTACACTTCTCTATGGCTGTCTTACGTTGCAGCCTCATTATTTTATAGTTGGTCTCTTTTTGGTCTGTTACCTTTGCCATTCACTTCCCCTTATTCATGAC